GTAGTCTGGATAGTTCCGACTGGAAAGTACTTCCTCTGGTACGATTTTCAATGAAAGGCAGAGCCGCATACTGGAGTGACACATCGCATCAGAAGAGGCTTTCTGGTCAAGGTATCCAAGCATTGTAGCTAGGCTGCAGTAATGTCAGTGAATGAACACTGGGAAAAGGGTGCTGATATGGGTGACGTCATTGCATTAGCTATGGTGCCCATCGGAAAATTGCTTAGCAGATGGTGCCTAATCACCCGTTGTTTTAGATTCATTGGTTAAAATCTGAGGCTGGATATGCATACCACTGCCGTTGTATGAGTAGTATTGTAGGGACGCGGATCTCAGTTCACACGGAATTGCCCCGGAAGCAGCAGGAGATGGGAACTAACGCGGAGAATGGGAACGGGAATCGTCAACCCAGCTCGTGGCCTACGATGCAATCCGGGAATGGGTCGTCAGCGACAAACGATACCGCGGCCACGCCGGAAAGAACAAGAGGCGACATGAATGGGAGCCTGATTTTCCCAAGAGATATGCCGGTATCTACGGCCCCAGAAATCGGCCCGACCAGAGCAACACAGCCCCGAGCAAGCAAGTCGAGAGCTTTGGTACGAATCCAGTCTGGATAGGCTGCGACGTAAGGGAGCAGAAATGTGGGCGGAAAACGGGACATTCAATGTCCAGGTCGGATCAGCCAAATGGCGCTTAGTGGACACCACTTCACGCGGCGGAACGTGGTGCGTCGTAAGTGGGAAACGCGGCTATATTTATGTGTGCGTGGGACATGTGGGTAAACCTCTCGGCGTGCAATAAACAGCGTTCTCCCCTACCGTGTCGTTCTCGCTACAGTATGAATAGCATGGTAGTCTGAATAGTGTCGCTGGGTTCCATAATAACTACAGCAGCTATAATCTAACAGATCGAGAGTAGTTGAACGATTGCTTCATTCTGTATGCTGCTGTAAACTAGCTCAGAGGGACCATTTTCCAGCAAAATTGAGTTACGCGGTCGTTCACAAAGGGCAGGAGGTCAAGTGTGAAGAGCTTGATGATTCGTTCTGTCGAACAGTCGTTTGATATTTGAGACAAAGATAATTAAGTGAGAATACCATAATGTTTGCTTTTCTCTCCAACAGTGAGACTCTTGCCTTGTATCAGCCAATGATGCGTCCATCAGAGTAAGGACAACATAAGTTGTGCGTACAATTGCCAGACGAAATCAGACCACTATGAATGTGTGTGTGGATCGGGTATACCTGTGATGTAACAAACTGTGGCATCGTTACTTACCGGTCCGTATTGCTGACAGGTAAAATGTCTGGTATCATGCTGCTGGCTTCGTGCTTCTACCTAGTAATCAGGTCCTTAAAAGCGGCAATTATCGGGGGTATCAAAGTGACTGAAACAGAAGCAGGGTGGCATCGCCTCGTGGAATTACTGGCTGGTCAGATCCACTAATAGAATATCCCGGGAGTAGACATCAGAACAGACGTTAGCGAACAAGCTCGTTTTCAGTGGTTCCTCATCAGGCTAATACACCACAAATGAATAACATGAACGTAAACATCAGCTAGGAGTACAGGTTCAAAACCCAGATGGTCTGAGTGACCAAGCTAGGCGATTGGCCCCACGGCGAATATCAGTTTGTCCAGGTACTAATTCTACCCTGGTCCCCTGTAACACGGACACATCATGTGGACAACGCCACACACACACATACACACACACACACACGCACAAACTGTTGATCGCCGTGGGGCCAATCGCCTAGCTTGGTCAGTCAGACCATCTGGGTTTTGAACCTGTACTCTTAGCTGATGTTTACGTTCATGTCATTCATTTGTGGTGTAGTAGCCTGATGAGGAACCACTGAAAACGAGCCTGTCCGCTATTTGTTCAGATCTACTGATGTGTGCTGTTTTGATGATCAAAAGTACTGTCATCGAGCGCAAAAGAGCTGACTATGTCAGCTTGTAGACAGCGATTCTGTGTGGCTAGAGCAGCAGTTCAGTCTAGCCTTGCAAATGTAGTCCAAAATTGGAAAAAAATTGGGCACAATTGCCTTGAATCACGCCGAACGGATGCGTGTCAATAACTGCTGTAAGCTGAGAAAGATGAATGGAAGGCCGCATGAAAGATCCAAGCAAAACTCCGTCAAAGAGAAATTTGAAGTTTGGATTGGGGTTACGAATTCAGAACAATTTGTCGAGTGCGAAAGCGCTAATTACTTCTTGATTGTGCTGCTTTGGAATTGGTCTGTTATCACTGAGTCACTTGACCACTGGGCTTCATCCAACAAGCAGCATACACAAGCTCCAGTTATAACAGCAATGTCCTTTCGATATGCCATCGCTTGGCCTTTTGTGTGGAAGCAGTCCTAGCTAACGATACAGGCAACGTAATCAAGCAGCAGATATGTATCGAAAGTGCTAGGGTCGACATGGGCAGTAAGAGTTCACGGGTTGATTCCCTGTGGCCCCAGGCAGCCAACTTTCGTGGCCAACTGATGGGCTGAACATCTTTATTAAGTGTTACTACTGTTTTCAGTGTATCGGTAGCCAAACAGAAGCTCTTTTTGTCTATCATAGTTGAGAGTCGACTAGTTTTTAATGCATAGACAACAATGACCGCACCGCTTGTTTGTACACCTCATCCACTACGAAGAGAACCTGGTTTTGCTTATCTACGGACGCTCAGAGTTAGGTGTCAACCATTTTCTTGTTAACTCATCGTATGTGGCGCAACCGCTGAAATGAGTGAACTAATCTGTGGTTTAAAGTACTGATCATCATTCTAGTAATGCGTCGATTCCACTATGTACAAGGAGGCCTTGAAAACTGGCGATGATATAAACCTGCTAAAGTGTGTCAGCCCTTCCTTCTTATTTCGCAGTTGTGTAGGATAGCTACAGAGTCACATGAACTCTAAGTCCTTTAGTGAGCCTATCGGTGGGATTTCCGTTCCCGTTGGTGCAGCCGGTAGTGAAGTTTTTTCATTTCGATGGGAAAAAGTAAGAAAATTGGGTATTTATACAGCTTCCTTGTTGTTTCCCAGGAACCAACTGTGAGTCTATGCAGATTCATAACAGATGCTGCACGTTATATTACAGGGCCCATGTTAAAAAGAGATTTTTTCGTGTAATTCATTCAACCGCCACAACTATGTTCGACGAACTGAGCCATAAAGGTTCTACAAGTTGAAGAACATTTTCGTGGTAGATTGTCTGCAAGTTTGATCACCGTAAGTCAAACATTTGATGGGCGAAAAATCCAAGTGGCTCTCATTGAAACAACTTATTCTAAGGTCAGTAAGTTTATGCAGCATAAACGTTTACCGGTTCACAATGGGTTGAATTCAATGAAGGGATGAATATGTCAAACAGTGAAGGCTCTCCTGTGCTCTTTCAATGTTTGAATTTATCGGGGCAGTTGGGAAATGAATTCCATCAATTTATGAATAAAACAGCACATTAACACAACAGAACTGGTGACAAATATGGGAATAGCAAACAGTCAATTCCGGTGTAGCCTAGGCATTGTTACTTAGGTTGTCTTCGAACACAGCGTACATGGTTCTGCAATGCAGCCCAAATGGTTCTGCGGTGTAGCGTTATTCGTTTTTGTCCCAAGCCCACGATCTCCAGAGGCTTCGCTGTTACAAACCGCGGATTGTGTTGGCGTCGCAGCATGATGCAAAAAGTGATTTGGTTGGCATTTGGTCATAAACAGCCTGTAACCATGGGGAGTAATTTTACGTTCTGTTCCGTTTGCGGTGGACTCCAATGCCAGCCACATATTGCATGATAGGACCGCAGTGAATCCTCGCAATTAGCCCAGCCCGTACTCCGATCAACCCCTTCATCGGATCCAGATGGCGAGCAGTTTAGGCTGACAGTCTGCGACGGTAAAAATAAACGAGTATATGGTCATCTTCTAACAGCATTTGAACAACGTACTTCCACTTTTTCTTTGCTTCGTAGACTCTACAAGCTTTAATGCTGTGGAAATGGAAGCCGCATGTAGTGAGACAACGTGAATGTCCTCTCGTGCTTGTGCGGACACTAATTTTGTATTGGGCATTGTTTTTCGATATACGCCGTGCTCACCCCCTCTGCCTTGTTCCTCGCACTTTGTCCGTTGCGCGCTCTTGGTTTTCGTACAGCCTTGCCACAGCGAATGCTTGCTTTCTACTGATCGTTTCTCAGATAAACTCGAGGAGGCCACATTACAGGCCATCACTAATGGTGACACAGTAAGCGAGTTGGTGAACATGCGAGTTAACACAAGAACAGCAGTTGGGACTAAACGGGTTGGTGTGAATGACAGACCAAACACGGAGATACCCAATGGTTTCACAGTGTGTGCGCGCGCATGTGCAAAAAAGTTAACTATGAATGAGGTGCATGCGGGTGAAAACAAATGTCAGCTTCAAATGAACGGAAGAACGGAGTTTGATTTGCAAGTGTAGAGTTGCAGACAAATATAGTATTAGTATCACTATTATTATTCTTAGACGTTGAATCGTATCACTGGTCACTGCAGTGAACATAGATAAGGGGTTACCGAAGGTTCAATCGGCAAAAGGATTGCTCAAACTAAAACAAAGTCACCCTCTCCGGTGTTGGGTTCCAGACTAGACTGACGAGGAAGCGAGAACCATTCTCACGTCCCTATAGCTCAATGAAGCCTAACTTCGTACCATCTTTGCAGTAGAGGCAGACAACGAAATCCAAGCCCGGTGACTAGATCTCCGTTGATGAACGGGTTAGAGATGAAAGTGATTCAGCGCAAACGTTCATTAGAAGATTCAGATGCCTATGTCGGACCGACGAGACACAACCGAGGTAAAGGTCTCGGTTTGCTGATCGTTGCCCTTCAGCGACACGTTTAAATGCTACACTATTCAGTGAATGCGTACTAGTCTCTAGTAGTCAGTGAGTGAACTAGAAAGCGTGTCTGGGTTTCGTAAATGCATTGCCAAATTGAGGATTTTACAACTGAGATAACTTACTTCCAAGTCATTGAGCATTACGAAAGGCTTGCGTCCATCCCGATGTCTGTAATATATGAATTGCAATCCTCTTCCGGCGCTAATATCTCTCTCTGATGGAGAGAAGGTGAAACACTGAACATATCGAAGATGGGCGATTTCCGTGAAGTTGTAAAATGAACACGGTTTGTCTTGATACTGACAATAGATCAGGTGTTGATAAGCCCGCAGCATTGTGTCATCTGAATCAAGGAGCATAATGGGTCAGAGAGCCACACATATTCAGAGCTTGCGAGTATCGGGTGCAGAGATACTGTGTTAACCCTTTACTGCATGAAGTATCTGAAGTTTAAAGTGAAAGCACTCTGATTTCCCTCCAAATAACCCCTCGGTTTTGGCTTACAAAAGACGATTTTGCGGTTAAACAGAACAACAAACAATCGAAATAAACCACAAATATCTGTTCTATCAAAGGAACTTACTCTTACTATGAACAACTTTGTGAAACCAAGTTGGTGGACCATCTTATGGCATGTTGCTTATAGGCAACTGTATGCAGTAACGGGTAAAATCAAAGTTAAATTCCAAATGGCACAGGAAGCAGAATCGTGGCAGCTCAACCCGCTTAAACCCCCTACACGTCGACACACACTTGGGGCCAGCGAGAAAGCTTCCGTAAAGCCAGATTGGTAGAACAGTGGGCTCGACAGTGTAAAGTCGTCGCTATCACAGAGTGAAACAACGAGCAGACTAATAAGTTTTGGTCCAGGTCAGTAACCATTTGCCGAGAACCGAGGCGCTTGAATCCGGTAAGCTTGACTCACACCGTCATAACAACGTAAGAAACACTAACAAGAGGGAGGGCAAACACAAACACTTGAATTCACATACTGTTACAGGGCTGGCATAGTCCTGCAAAACTCACCCGGGCTTCACAGACGCCAATGCACTCTCAGAGCATTGGGATAACTACGTAGCTCAACGTAACCACTGCACTCAACTGCTAAGAGAATACAAAGCCGCCTATCAGCGGAACGTCACAAAAACCTTTAGTACTAACCACAAACTGCTGTAGGAGCATGTCAATAGCCGACGAAATGTGAGGCAAGGATTTCCTCCACTCAGGACGGTTGATGGTCCAACAAGAACGGCTGTGGAAGCAGCAAACGCTCTGCGGATGCAAAATGCCTCCGCATTTAAGAGGAACTTGCCACCAAGCGATCTTCCAACCTTTGTCGTCTCTCCGCCAAGACTAACTCACATCACTTTTACCGCGGAGGCTGCACTACAAAAGCTGACGTCTCTACGCAAACATAGCTCGCCGGTTGTCGATACCATCCTTCCAAAGGCACTGGAAGCAGCAGCACGCCAACTGGCAGGACCTTAAACGCAGTTTTTCAGACGATACTTAGACCAGAATCAAGTTACCGCTATGTGGAAGCTCGGAATAACAGACCCCGAGTCACAAAGGTGGAAGCAGAACTGAGCCTTCCAACTACCGCCCAGTATCCCTACTTCATATACTCTCCAAGGTCATGGAATTCATTGTTGTCGATGCGCTGGTGTACTAGCTGTAAAACTGTAACATTATCACGCCTAAGCAATACGGCTTCATCGACAGCGTCCATGCACAAGGAATTCACTAATCGCGCGCAGTAGTTGGACTGAATCAGCTGATGCTGGAGAAGGCGTTGATGTGATCTACCTGGAGTTTCGAAGGCTTTCGATCGTCTAGACCATCGGCTACTACTCTCCATGCTCAAGCTTTATGGGATCAGTTACCCTCTTCTAAGCTGGATTGCCAACTTTCTCCTTCAACGGCAATTAGTGGTCAGAGTTCGGAGCTCTTTATCGGACCGCATATAAGTTGAGTGTGCTGTGCCGCAAGGCTCGTTACTAGGTCCACGTTTTATTTTGGTGTTTATTAATGACCTCTCACAGGGAATCGCTTCAAATTTCCTAATGTTTGCCGACGATATCAATAGTTGTCTCAGGATCCAGGCAAATGCCGATCAGCATCCGCTTCAGAGCGACCTAGAACGGTGTATCAATGGTCAACCCAAAACTTATTGCATTTCAACGTCAGTAAATGCAAGGTAATTTGCATCCGACATCAAAGCAGCTACTCATAACGGCTCGGAACGAATGTACTGCAACAATCAAACTGTCGAACGTGACTTGAGTTTGCTGGTTCAAGATGTCATGGGTTGCTCCAGACAATCCGAAAAGGCATCGAAGACTGGAAACTAACATGTCGGGTTGTGGCGGCGGGCGTTTGGACAAGTGAAAAGCTCCATATTTCGACACTTGCTCAGTGCGTATGTTCGCCCCATGTCGAATACGCAATACAAGCCTGGCATCCACGGTTAAAACATGACTTTAATGCACTGGAGCAGCCACAATGTCGGGTCTCTAGGAACCTACTTGGAACGCGCAATCTTTCATAGCAGGAGAGGCTGCAACGAGTGGGGGTGTACAACGGAAGCTATCGCAGACTACGAGACGACCTAATAATGACGTATTTGGTGCCGTATGACGCACATCATGTGTGCCGTCCTTTACTGCAACTCAGCACCAATACAACTACGAGGGGCTACTGATTGAAATTCGCAGAACAGTATAGCCATCTGGAGTGCCGCAGAAATTTCTTTTCCATTCGTGTCTGTCACCTGTGAAATGCTCTTCCAGAATCGGTTGTCTCTGCACCGACACTAACAGTATTTAAAAGACGGTTGGATGACGCACTCATCCACTTACATTTGGTCACTTAATGCTACGTCTCTACTCTACATCTGGAGTTGACCATAGATTTATTTGATGTTGACTGCATGTGTTGTGAATCTAAGCGGATTGCAGGACTACAGCGGAGAAAACGTTAAGTCCTTATTTCATATTCAAATGGCTAACTATTTATTATTATTATTATTATTATTATTATTATTATTATTTCCATATCTCCACCAACTATCCCAAGGGGCCTTTAAAGCAACGCTTCTTAACCAGTATAAATTCATTGTTCATTTGACCCGAACAACACGGTCGCTATGCAGAGACCCAAACAACTCAGTTTAGAGTGGAGCTCTCCATACGGAAACTGACGCCAAGGGCCCACTCGTTTGCGCAGATCACAACGGAGTTGTCCTCGGTGAGAATACGACCAAAGTATCCCGTATGGTTTCCAATGAACTGGCCCCAGTTTCACTATCGTAGCTCCCGGACTGTCTTCAAATCAGAAGTCTGTATTTTGAGCTGTGTTCATGCCAATGCCTTAGCCACCGAGCACACTCAGCGACTGTGATGAGCCCAACGTCTCAACAGCATCGAATCCACCCCATCTCTGCCCGGAGATAGGACCACGACATGGCAACTCATGTGCCAACTAACATATACTTCCCTTATGGTTTATACAATTACTATTGTTTTAGTGAACTAGAAATATGAAGGTGTAGAAAGCACGGTTGCCTTGGTTGAGTTAGTAAACGCACTTTTGCTATCGGCCAGTCATCTTTATGCGGGTCTCGGTACAGTCGTGCGGTGTTTGCGCGTTCCGTCTGCCTTATCAATTGCGAGTGCTAGTCCATCGGCTAAATCCATTAGTTGTTCCAATACGAATCGTCTAGGCTACTCTGCGCTTGGGGAACAACGAGTGATGAGTTTGTCCGTTCCGACTTCGACAGTCGAAACCCAACCAGGACATTTGTAACATACAAAGAAAGGTTGGCAGAACAGGACTTACTCTGACTCGAAAAGTTATCACTCAAGAAGTAAAGGCTACCTGCAGGAGTCCAATTAACTACACCGCTATACCAAGTTACATGTGGTGTCTAAACCCTATTGTGGTTGTTTCCAGCCAGAAAGTACCATTCGTATCCGGTTTGACGCTAGTTTCCTCACCCTTTTTATTCACGCCGTCATCTGGCTACCATGGAACCTTGTTTGGACAGACGAATGTAGGCATGTAGAAAAAGTCACGCTGAAAGTGGCGGTCAACGGATTTATACAAGAACCAAACTATTCAACATGTTCGCCTCGATTTCAAGTACTGATCATGTGCAACACCAAAGTACCTCTTATCATCGGCCAATCAGAGTATCTCAGCATCGCCTTGATGATACTCCTAACGGACCCAAGCGATGCATTACAAACAACGGCGACCGCAGATGGTCGACTTCTAATGTCATCAGGACATAGTATCGACACCTCGGATGCATACGGTAATTTTGGGTGCAAAGCAGAGCCGCACATCATGTTCAGCATCGACCGGTGTTGAACACCCACAGGCTTCCCCATTGCGCGTAGTGTCCTCGGCGGTCTGAGTAAGCCAGCTCATCGACCGTCGGGACAAACTTTGCCAGCCACGTCCCAATGACTTAAAGTTAAAAACTTAGACCGGCATCCCAAATGTCCCGAGTTCGAACCGAAGTCCCGTAAATGAGAGCGAAGTGGAGTACAGTATTGTGGGCGGATAGCATCTGACCTGTGTACGCTGCAGAAACGACCCCCCTTGACCGAATCGAGGGTTGTCCAATTCAGTGTTAATCATGTTCCTTATTGGGATTGCGCATCGCAATGAATTCGTACCCAGCAGGTGCTTCAAACTTACCACTCCAACTTGATGTGGCCACTCAAGAATGGTGGGAACAAGTGGCACATAAGCACATGCAAGTGGTTGCACTTGGGCGTAAGTGTGAAACACGCACTTGAACCTGATGTGGCCTGTGTCATTGCGAGAACACTCATCCAACGCCGATTGGTTCACTTGTTCCGCTTTGCCTTCAGACGCTCTCTCGAAGTACTCAGATGTCAGCACGTGAGTGAACAAATATCGCTTAACTTTTAAACACTTAATGTGCATTTTCTCCCTTGTTGGCACTATGTCTAGTTCCTAGAATGTTGAGATTACAAACACACATATACTTTATCCCTTTATCGTATCCTGGTAACCTTGTGTTTGAATACACAGTAATTATCCGGCTGTCCAGCTATGAATACATATCACGCTCTGCCGACTCATCATCATCATCATCATCATCATCATCATCATCATCATCATCATCATCATCATCATCATCATCATCATCATCATCATCATCATCATCATCAGCAGCAGCAGCAGCAGCAGCAGCAGCAGCAGCAGCAGCAGCATCATCATCATCATCATCATCATCATCATCATCATCATCACCATCATCATCATCATCATCATCACCACCACCATCATCATCATCAGGCATTAAACAAA